CATACCTTTGTCATTATACAAATGTCCTCATTTGTCACAAAAACGTGCACACACACACGGTTCTTTTGCTTGCATCAAAAGAAGCTTAACAAGACCACACTGGTTTATGTTTTTTTTTCTTTTTTATGACCTAATTGTTAATATCAGAGAATACTGAAGGTTCTTGCGGGTTCCTCATTGAGTGCAAAATGAAAAAATGAATAGGTACGTGGGGCTACGGCAACAAAGGCCTGCTATGGCCACGGCTGAGCAGAATTCATACTACTACACTTCAAAAGTGTGCGCTTACACACACAGGGAAGTGTGTTTGTCTGCAAAAGCACTTCTCCGTAATTCCTCCACATGTTCTGACAGATATTAGTCCCATGGAAGAGCTTTTCAAACTTAAATGGGCACTGCTGCACCCATATATTTACTCAGCAAGCAAGTGCGGACATGAAAAAACAACCCTTTTTCATAAAACAAAGACCAATGCATTGAAAGGGAAAAATAATGATTTATGGCTTATGATTTTCTTGTATGAGCTGCTTTCACTCTGTAACACTGGAATGGATCACATTTCACTGGAAACACCTGAATCGAAATTGACATTTAATCTTCATGCAAATTTTGGAAAGCCACTGCAGAGATCAGGTTCCATTTCTCATCACGGCTCATTTGGCCAAAAAGCAGGTGTGACCTCTGACCACGTTCACTGACCTTCAAACCCAGCTGTTCTGACAGGACAGCATCTTCTCAATACTTGTCACCTGCCCCCACGGCCCTTTTTCATTCACACATCCATCCTCCATCTGAGAGCAATCAACAGCTCAAAAATAAACAGCCTGCAGCTACTGCCTGTTTAAAGTGTTAAGACGCTCCCTCTAGGACACCTTCACTTCCTGTTTGTAACAAATGGGACTACGTCACTGCCCCTATTTTTAAAACAGCCAATAAAGATGTCTATAGAGCAGGGTGGCCAATATAATGTGAGACCCTGGAGCACAAAAGTAGTCTTAAGTCGCTGGGGTATGTTTGTAGCAATAGCCAAAAAAAACACATTGATAATTTTGACCCTTACTATGTTTCGTAATGCCAAAAATCATTAGGATATTAAGAAAAGATCATGTTCCATGAAGACATTTTGTAAATTTCCTACCGTAAATATATTAAAACTTAATTTTTGATTAGTGATATGCATTGCTAAAAACTTCATTTGGACAACTTTAAAGATGATTTTCTCAGTATTTTTTTACACCCTCAGATTCCAGATATTAAAATAGTTGTATCTCGACCAAATATTGTCCTATCCTAACAAACCATACATCAATTGAAAGCTTATTTATTCGGCATTCAGGTGATGCATAAGTCTCAATTTCCAAAAATTGACCCTTGTTTTGTGGTCCAGAGTCACATATATATTAATACACTTACTCAATTTTTTGGAGATAAATGTCCAAATATCGTCTTTCAATTGGCCTGGCTGATATATACTGTTCATAACTAGTTAAAATTAAACCAAAACTTACATTTTCAACTGCCGCAGAAATATCCCAACATTCATGCTGCGTTTTGAGTCAAGCAGCGTAACCTGCAAATACAATTTAACATTGTACATTGAACATAATCAGCACACAAACTCAGACAATTTTGCAAAAGAGACCTCTTAGTTTAAATGAAACGATAGAAGTTGTTTAAAAGTCTTCACTAACCATGCTGTAAATATCGAAAAAAAAAAAAAAAATGGAGCAGCTTATAAGTTTTGCAAAGCATCCATTGTTTCTGAACAATTTAACTGCATCAAAAAAAAAAAAGAGCAATTACAGCAAATATTTTTTAATTGAACACATGCAGATGGCAGCCTTTAGCATTGCGTCTTGCCGTTTTTCAGCATCTTGAGACATAAGCTTTGAAGTTAAAAGTTTAACTTTTATAAATCTCTAATCTATTCTATTCTAGTGCTCCATTCAGCTGCTTATGAACACAAAAATGTCCTGTGTCTGAAAGTTATCTGATGGTCATGACCTTAAAGCAACAACACAGGGCTTTCATAAGACCAACAAGTTCATGTTAAAAATATGTAGTTTTGTGCATCCTTAGCTCCATCCATGTGTTGGATCCATGATTTGTATAATGAAAAAGCGTGCTCTTACTTTGTCCACACTCGTCTCTTGTGGAGACCCGCACTGCCGTAAACTACGCCGGAAGCCGCTGACCCGGTCGGGCTTGTCAGCCTCTTTTTGCCCAAAGAGTTCATCCAGAGAGTTCAGGTCAATGGAAAGCTCGCAGTCCTCATCCAGAGAGCCGGTCCAAACGCTCTTACGGCCCTCCACACGCTCTTTGGGGATCCGCTCCCAGTTGAGGTTGCGAAGCCGGTGTTTGCGACCAGAGTCGGCTCGGGTCAGACCGCTGGCTGAGACAGGAGGAGGAGGGGGAGGGGGAGGGAGAGGGGGAGGGGGGATCGAGGGTGGCGGGACAGGGATGGTGGCCATGAATTTCACTTCCAGTTTTTGGGTGTCACCAAAGTATGTTCCATGAAAAGTCAAAGACTTTAGTTTCCAGACAAATGGTAAACCACAGATGAAGAGTCCACAAGAAAGACACTGTCCAGTCTCCTTACGGTTGTGATGCATATCTGCAGCAGGAAACAAGAGCGATAGACTGAAACAACAACTTTTACACGGCAAACGTTCTAACAGGCAAAACGAATATAGTGACCCTGAACCACAAAAGCAGTCTTAAGTCGCTGGGGTATATTTGTAGCAATAGCCAAAAATACATTGTAAGGGTCAAAATTATTGATTTTTCTTTTATGCCAAAAATCATTAGGATATTAAGTAAAGATCATGTTCCATGAAGATATTTTGTAAATGTCCTACTGTAAATATATCAAAACTTAATTTTTGATTAGTAATATACATTGCTAAGAACTTCATTTGGACAACTTTAAAGATGATTTTCTCAATATTTAGATTTTTTTTGCACCCTCAGATTCCAGATTTTCAAATATTGTCCTATCCTAACAAACCATACATCAATGGAAAGCTTATTTATTCAGCTTTCAGATGATGTACAAATCTCAATTTCGAAAAATTGACTCTTATGACTGGTTTTGTGGTCCAGGGTCACATATGAGAACACAAAACTAGATATACTAGCCAACTTCACTAAATAGCTTGTGACTAAACTAATATTAGTTGTGAAACTACAACAAATAGCTGTAACTTTATATATATTATCATTCAAAAGTTTGGGGTTGGTAAGATTGTTTAATGTTTTTGAAAGAAGTCTCTTATGCTCACCAATGCTGAATTTATTTGAATAACAAAAACAATATATTAAAAATAGTAATATTGTAAAATATAGCTACAATTTAAAATAACTGTTCTCTATTTATATATATATATATATATATATATATATATATACACACACATACACATCACATGATCCTTCAGAAATCATTCAGATTTGCAGATTTGGTTCTCAGCAAACATTTATCATCATCAACTGAACAAACGTGACAGTAAATGCATTCATAACGTCATACAAGATTTCCATTTTAAATAATTGCTGCTCTATTGAACTTTATAGTCATCAACAAAACTTGAAAAAAAGTATCAGTTCCCACAAAATATTAAGCAGAAAAAACTATTTTCCGCACTGATTGATTTCTCTCAAAACATAAAAAAAGATTGGTACTGCGTACATACATGACATACATTTTAACCTAAAATAACTACCCAGAAATCATCTTGGTTTAATGCAAAAAGTCACAAATCTAAAGCAAAACTTCCTGTTTAACAACAAGAGCCAAGCTGATCACACCTCCAATAGCATGGCCAGATGGCATCATGCAGTTCATCCTCACTTGTGTGCTTTAAACACACGAGCACCCGCCGCCGACAAACAATGAGGATGTGTACAGCGATGGGGCAACCCAAAGTGAGCCTACGGGGTCAGGCAGCTCTTGTCACCCAATTAACATGAGGGTATCTGTGATTAACATGTGCTTGCGCTGCTGCCAGTGAAGTGTTTAACCTGAGGTTACACTTTTTTTGGAATGGCCCAAGGTGTTGAGAAGTCCCAGCACGTGAGAGCGCTCAAGCCCTTCCTCCTCCTCTGAGAAACTCCTGCCACATGTCTACACGCCATATGCGATGTTCCTTCCTGCAGTCCAGTCAATTAATGCCAATGAGGCCACAGGACAATGACGGAAAAAGTGAAGCTGACACAGATTCAGGATTACTGGCAGAGCAAACAAGAGGTTGTGCTGCCAAAAACATGAGCACACTGTAACTGGAATCCATGTGTACCTGCACTTCTAAATACTAGTCTGCACCATTTTCCAGTCATTCTTGAGACGTGGGACAAAACAGGTCCAGCAAGGGTAACTGCTATTAGCTTTAAAAATAAAAATATTTTCAATGTTAAATGTCATGAGGGATTAATAATAGAACGCATTTAACACAATTATCACCTTCAATTGAATTTTCTCATTATTATACCAAATCTGTGTTTTTTTCTGTGTCCTCTCACTACGTCTAAAACAGTGTGTCCACAGAGAAGGGTTCAATCATTCATATGCAATAAAATGAATAAAAATGTTTTTTAATGATGAAAAGAGCTTGTTTTATCAAAGGCAACACTTAATAATATCTCCTATCAAAGCAAGGTTGTTTTTTAATGACACATGCATGTTAAATATGATTTTAAAGTTGTGTCCCCACTTTTTGTCAACCCCGTCAGACATTCAATAAAATGTAAAAAAAAAAATCAGGGAATAACAGGGCCAGCTGTCCCTCTAATGGACCCCCTTGCCACATTCCACCTCTGCAGAGTACATCAGCATCAAGCTCTGGTAAGTTTTATAGTTTTAGAATATTTTAAATCCTAATGTTAATATTTCCTGTGTCACAGCCATGATATGTCAACACCATCTTCCAATTTCTGAGGAAATTATTTGAAATATTTAGATAATTGTATTCTCCTGAAGCAAGTTCCATTGGCATCTAGCATCAACAGAAAAAAATAAAATGCTACTTCATGAACTCCATTGGTTTTGTGAAAGAAATGCCAAGTTTGTCAACATCGTCAGATGTCACCACCATAAGATTTTGTGTTCGAATGATATATCAAAATACTTCAATGTGACTCTTGAATAAAAGCTTTATAAACAATAACATACTCACTGTTTGTTGTTTGTTTTAATACAGTAATTGACTGATTCAATGTATTTAATAGTTAAAATGACTACAAATCCAGGTTTTCGTCACCTCCGTCAGTTGAATATTTTGATAATATTTGATTATGATATTTTATATTTGTTGTGGAATTGTTGGTCACACGTGAAAGTGTAATCTGTCTGCTAACACGAGAATGTGTTTTGAAATGTTAAAAACATCTTGAATGCTGTTAAAGATAAAGCTGAAATTATATTACACAGTCCAAGGTATCGTCCTTGTAATATTTCCTTATTAAACCCTGTTATTTTGAAACATCGTAGAAATAAACAACTCCAGTAGAAATGAGTAGAACTGAAACACTTGTTTCCCAAACATGGGAAGAATGTGCAGTTAGTGTCGACCTGCCTTAAATTAAATAGCTGTGCAAATTAAAATGGCAAAGACACGATGGGAAATACTGTTCTATAATGCCAGTAAAAATGTAAACCCCATAAACTCAATTCAAAAAGCTCAGTTTGGTGGAGTGCGGTGCAGCGGAACGAGAGAAGCACAAATAAAACAGTACTTACGTTTCACTTCGTGTCATTACGCATGTGATCCAATTTAGAACAAAATAAAAACGCTATAAAGGAATCCCCCGTCCACTGTGAGAGATTCTCACGCGTGTCTATGAGCATAAAACACCGGCCAACACTCGCTGAACGCCGGAGCGTCCCGTTAACACACTCAGTCTACTGAAGCGAAACTCCCAAACTTTCGGTGCGCTTTCTAAGCACACGCACGCGGGACTTTACCAATCCTACTACGGGAACGTCTTGTCTCATGAATATTAATTACGTAACGTGCCACTCGCCTAACTGATCTAACACTTTTTTTTTAATGATCCTTTTTTACAGTCTATGATCTAGCAGAAAGTGCACAACTGGTAAGTAGTGGATAGTCCTACTAAATCGTAAAAAATACATTATTACAAAGATTTTTCTTTAAATGATGTTACTAAACGGTCTAGAAAATTAATTCAGCAGCCTCAACGTGACCTAATTCATATTCATACGCCAGGCCTTCTCCTTAGTAGGATTCTTATTTCACTACCAAAAAATTAATTATAATCTTTAAATTATGTTGTAAGAATTAAAATATTTAGTGTATACATATTCACACACATTTGATAGATACATGTACACAAGGTATTGGTGTTCCCTTGTATTTGCCTAGACATAGTAACAAATTAGACATAATCATAGGACTAATCTTCCTATTAGCAATAAATGTTATCTGCATATTTTTGAATAAGCAGTGAACAGAACAGGAGTCCTGAGTGTGCAGCATGAAGCGAGAGAAACAGAATTTAGTGTAACAGCACTGATCTCAGTTCAGCTTCATCCTTTGTTAAAAATACCATCATCCATCCGAGACACAAAAGGCAAAAGTGATTGAGGATCAGCTCTCATACACTGAGAACATTCATATGGGCAGCCTCTGATCTTCTTGTCAGTTCCATTATCAAGGTAAGGCCAGTCGCTGCAAACTTCCTGAGCGCTGGAGAAGGCTTTGATCAGTGCTAGTGATGAGAACCCAAGATGAAGTGAGCCGAGAACTGGTCATGGGAAACAGCACAGTGAGCTTTGGAGCTTTGGCCAGCACTGGGAAGGAAAAAACAGAATCCCCAAAATCAGGAGAAACATGGAAATGAGAGGATATCAGGTGACAGAGCGAGTGTTGAGTCCCGTCACCTCTACATCTGCAGCTTTCTCCCAGATGAACTCATGCTAAGAGGCACAACTCATCAGAACAGGCATTTGTGAGGTTACGCCCCTGTATCCCTCAGCACTGCCGTGCCAGAATAGTATCTTTTGATCAATTTAATTGATCCTTGCTGAATAAAATATGAATTTGCTTCATGTATTTCTATATGAAATATTAAAGTGCCTCACACAAACTCTTTAATAAACGTATAAATGTAAAGATTCCTCAAGATTCCATTTGGTGACATGCAGTGCTGCCACATGACCGTTAGTAGTCTCCTGCACACCTTCTGAATTACAAAGTGACTAAAGGAACACTTGATAGTCTTGTTAACTTCATGGAACGGACACAAACCACAAGATCGCCAGTCTGCATGCCATTTTGGTGGACTGATAAAACCCTGGTGCACCTTGACTTCTGGAAACTGCATAGACGCCATCCAATCAGATTGGACCCTTTGCATTTTTGCATGCAGTACACTCTTAAAAATAAAGGTGCTTCAAAAGGTTCTTCAAGCGATGCCATAGAAGAACCATTTTTGGTTCCAGAAAGAACCATTCAGTCATAGGTTCTTTAAAGAACCATTTCTTTCTTACCTTTTTATAATCTGAAGAACCTTCTTTCGCCACAAAGAACCTTTTGTGAAACCGAAAGGTTCTTCAGATGTTAAAGGTTCTTTATGGAACCATTTAGATCAAAAGGTTCTTCTATGGCATCGTGAATCACCTTTATTTTTAAGAGTGCGCACTATGCAGCAGGCGCTGTGTGAACGGTCCATGGGCGTGCTGTCTGAGACTCTAACTGTACAAACCAGTCCTCTGTGTCATTACTTGAAAAGAATCCTGTTTCATTTTGTCCCTCTTTGCTAAATGGCCCAACAACAAAACAAAGCTACATGAAATGCTAACTGCATGGCAAGATCTATAAAAAGTTTATAATAAGAGTTGTACAATAAGTGATACAGCATTGATTATTTTTGAAAGCTGTTGGGAATATGTGTGTTTTCCTGTAAGTGTTTGAAGACTGGTGAAATGGGCCAGTTGTATGCTTAGACACACCTGCATTTGATCACAGACAGAGGCTCTTGGACTTTTAATGGAAGCCAGGTGGCCCTATAGGAAGCCAGAGGCAGCATTCATGCAAAAACGAGACAAAGAACCAGCGAACATGGGCTCACAATTAAACAGGTGATATGCACTGAGCTGGAGGAACATTATTCAAGAGAAAATAGTCAAACGTAAAGACAAACTGACAAGTTAGAGCCCAGACCATCTTAAAACTGAGGATCTAAATATAAGCAGTGCATTAGGAGTTAGTCTCGCAAGTTCATTTATCGTCTTTTTTATCTTTGAATAAGCTGTTCTTGGCCTGAGGCCTGGGAACTGGAAGCTGATAAAGAGAGAGTTCCTATCCTCCTCTCCATTGGAAGGGCATTGTATGCGGGCATTTCCCACATAAAAAAGTGAATCGTCAGAACCATTGTGAGATCCTGACCAATATATTGCCAGACAAGTATGTTCTTGTTTCTCTCAGATAGAAAATCTAAAAATATGATGATTGCAGGCCAGCTGAAACAAAGGCACATTAATTTTGCAGGCGGCAATATTTTTTGTTTTCACGCAGTTTGGGTGTGATGCAACAACTCAGAATATGCTGCAGTGAATTGATCTGCATGGTGTAATTATTCGTGTGCAGACACACGTTATTTGTGCTTGCACATCTGGTGAAATAACACTATTCCAACTTCACATGGGATTTCCTTAAATGTGATGAAAGGGATGTACACGCACCTATTAAATTCTTCTTGTTCCACACTCTTAAAAATAAAGGTGCTTCAAAAGGTTCTTCAAGCGATGCCATAGAAGAACCATTTTTGGTTCCAGAAAGAACCATTCAGTCATAGGTTCTTTAAAGAACCATTTCTTTCTTACCTTTTTATAATCTGAAGAACCTTCTTTGCCACAAAGAACCTTTTGTGAAACCGAAAGGTTCTTCAGATGTTAAAGGTTCTTTATGGAACCATTTAGATCAAAAGGTTCTTCTATGGCATCGTGAATCACCTTTATTTTTAAGAGTGCGCACTATGCAGCAGGCGCTGTGTGAACGGTCCATGGGCGTGCTGTCTGAGACTCTAACTGTACAAACCAGTCCTCTGTGTCATTACTTGAAAAGAATCCTGTTTCATTTTGTCCCTCTTTGCTAAATGGCCCAACAACAAAACAAAGCTACATGAAATGCTAACTGCATGGCAAGATCTATAAAAAGTTTATAATAAGAGTCAATGTTGTACAATAAGTGATACAGCATTGATTATTTTTGAAAGCTGTTGGGAATATGTGTGTTTTCCTGTAAGTGTTTGAAGACTGGTGAAATGGGCCAGTTGTATGCTTAGACACACCTGCATTTGATCACAGACAGAGGCTCTTGGACTTTTAATGGAAGCCAGGTGGCCCTATAGGAAGCCAGAGGCAGCATTCATGCAAAAACGAGACAAAGAACCAGCGAACATGGGCTCACAATTAAACAGGTGATATGCACTGAGCTGGAGGAACATTATTCAAGAGAAAATAGTCAAACGTAAAGACAAACTGACAAGTTAGAGCCCAGACCATCTTAAAACTGAGGATCTAAATATAAGCAGTGCATTAGGAGTTAGTCTCGCAAGTTCATTTATCGTCTTTTTTATCTTTGAATAAGCTGTTCTTGGCCTGAGGCCTGGGAACTGGAAGCTGATAAAGAGAGAGTTCCTATCCTCCTCTCCATTGGAAGGGCATTGTAGCGGGCATTTCCCACATAAAAAAGTGAATCGTCAGAACCATTGTGAGATCCTGACCAATATATTGCCAGACAAGTATGTTCTTGTTTCTCTCAGATAGAAAATCTAAAAATATGATGATTGCAGGCCAGCTGAAACAAAGGCACATTAATTTTGCAGGCGGCAATATTTTTTGTTTTCACGCAGTTTGGGTGTGATGCAACAACTCAGAATATGCTGCAGTGAATTGATCTGCATGGTGTAATTATTCGTGTGCAGACACACGTTATTTGTGCTTGCACATCTGGTGAAATAACACTATTCCAACTTCACATGGGATTTCCTTAAATGTGATGAAAGGGATGTACACGCACCTATTAAATTCTTCTTGTTCCCAGCGCAGTTATGTTTTCAGAACACACCCATGCACTCTCAATTAAATTTCACCTTTATCTAAGCACATAAAAATATGAACAAACAGATTTATAGATAGTACAGACTCTGTATTCTGATGGGGAGATATAGGAGGAAAAATTATATTTGAATGTTTTTGTGTTTGCTCGCAAAACTTTTGTGATGAAAATAATGTGAGGTAAAAACTATATTTCAGTGCTTTTTGAGCGAAAGCAAAATTTCTTGGAGAATTTAAAAGTTTTACCAGAGAGCGCAAAGTTTCTTGTGGATCCCAATAGTTTTGTGAGAGAAAACAATGTTTTGCAAGAGAACGCAAATGTTTTGCGAGAGAAAACAATATTTCTCAGCAGAGTGCAACAGATTTGCGAGAGAATGCATGCTTTTGAAGTTTTGAGAGCAAATGCAAAAGCATTGACTTACAGTTTTTCCTTATATCTCATATTTTATTCCATCACCATGTCCCTTTAGGACAGTGATGGGCAAACTTGGCCCCTCCAGGCCCTTTCCTGCAGAGATTTGATCCAACCCTGATATGACTCACCAGCCTCTAGCTTTCTAGTAGTCTTGAAGACAGTGATTAGCTGGTTCAGGTGTGTTTGATTATGGTTGGAGCTAAACTCTGAAGGAAAGTGGCCTGGAAGGGCCATGTTTGCCCACCCCTGCTTCCGTGGCTCCGTAGACTCCGTAGACTTCCATGTATAGACAAATAAAAACCCCACTGAGACATTTCTCAAAACATCTTCTTTTGTGTTCTGCAGAAGAACGGAAGTCTAACAGATTTAGAATGGCAAGAGGGCGAGTAAATTATGACAGAATTTTCATTTTTGGATGAACTGTTCCTTTAATAAATGTAAATATGGGTGGTCAGTCACC